TATATATATCTGTTTAATACACATACATAGTAGAGTAAAAGATACATTGTCATCAGCCTCCCTCAAGATACTCTCCTGTCTTTGAACGCGCTGGTCCCATTACTCTGGCCACTCTCGGGAGGAGTTCTGCAGAGTCCTCCTGTGTGAGTGTCTTTAGTGGTGCTGTCATGGGGCCTCAGTGGCCTGAACCGATTCACTGTGGTGAGCTGCGGTGTCCTCTAAGTGTCCGTCACCTTATCTGTAAAATGGGATCCCAACTGCCTACCTCATACGAAGGCAGCCCAATGCACTAGGCGGGCGGTAGGTGCCTAACAGATGTCGTCCCCTTTCGCTGCTTGGTCTCGGGTGCGTGCGCTTTCACACTACAGAGTTTCCTCTGCCCTACGTAAAATCGTGTCTTTTTTTTTTTTTTTTTTTTTTTTTTTTTTTCTTCTGTACTTAGGACAGGGTCTGCAGGGTCTACAGTGTCTCACTACGTAGATCGAAGTGATCCTTCTGTTTTCAGCCTCCCAAGTGCTGGGATTACAGGCATGCGGCACCACGCCCAGTCTCAATCGCCGGCTCAGCGCGCCCCGCGGGCAGGGCCAGCTCGGCATGCCAGGGATTGAGCCCCCGCCGCGGCGCTCAGCCTACGCAGGCGCTTTAGTCCGCTGAGCTATCAGGCCGGCCAATCATGTCTCCTTTTAACACTTCTGTTGCTATTGACAGAGACGGCACATCTCCCACTTCTACATGTGACTTAAGCAAGGACTCTGCATGTCTGCCTTTAATCATCCTGAGACCTCAAATGTTGAGCGCCATTATTTAAAATGTGAACAGTAATTTCTCTGCTGTAGAATTTCAAGTAGTGCTTAGCACAAAAATATTAATCATCCCAGTACTATCTGATGTATTTAGATTAAATTTAATTATCATTCAGCTTTTACAAATGGCTTTTTACTAAACCAAGAAAAGTGTAATTTAACCAGCATACTTTCAGGTCCTCAAGATAAAGACATCCTGTGTTCCCCTGAGATGAAAAAGCAGTTAACTCCGGTTGGCGCTGGCCCACGTGCTCCTCCGCAGCTTCCCGTCCACCACTGTAAATAATTAACAACTCCCCTCGCCTCCAGCCCTGAGCACCGCCCGCTGCAGCAGGCAGCGAACCTCCGCGTTGCTAGGCAACCACTGCCAGGGCGGATTCTATGTAACTGAGCCAGTCCCCATCACGGAAATTAAGTATCTCAGGGAAGGGCAGATTAAATCCTAGGTGACATGATGGCCTGGGAGTCACAGGCCGGGTAAAACAACTGCACCCTGTCAGAACAGAATCCTCACACGCCAACGAGACAGCCTAGGAAGTTTATTGAGGCAAGGATGATTTTAAGAAACTTGCAGATGTTTTCATGTAACAATGGATAGGACAAATAATGTAGGTTGTTTCCCTGTGACAATGCCAGTTTGCCAAACTTAGAAGAACAAATGCAAGGTTTCTCCAACTCATGGGTACATATGACAATCTGGAAATTGATTGATTGATTGATTGATTGATTGATTGGCTGTACTGGGAATTAAGCCAAGAGACTTTACACTGAGCTGCATGCCCAGCTTTTTGTTTTGTTTGCTTTGAGACAGTTTTTCAATAATTCTTCTTTTAATGTATTTAGTATAGGGTCTACAGGGTCTCACTATACAGATCAGACTCGTAGTGATCTTCCTGCTTTAAGCCTCCCAAGCGCTGGGATAACAGGCATGCCCTACCATGCCCAGTCTCAGTCGCTGTTTCAGTGTGCCCCGGGGTGCAGGGCTGGCACAGCACCCAGGGTCCCTGAACCTGTCTAAACCAGCACTTTAGTCCGCTGGGCTGGCCTTAGTTTTTCAATAAATTGCTAAATTATCCAGTCTGAACTCTTCCTGCCTCAGCCTTCCCTCTTCTTTTTTTTTTTCCAAAGTTTTATTGATAAACAGATAGCAATGAAACAGTTTCAAATCAAATCGAAAGTACAGGGCTGGTGAGATGGCTCAGTGGTCTAAAGCACCTACTTAGAACAAGCTTAACAAAAGCAAAGGGACCGTGGTTCAATCCCCCAGCACCACATGCCAGCCAGCCCTGCCCCCTGGTGGGCTGAGCTGGCCACACACACACACACACACACACACACACACACACACACAAATAAATAAAATTAAAAAAAAACAAATCGAAAGTACAGTTTCAACAAATACACTGCATATATTCTTCTTAGTGGTTAATTGCTGTACAAGAAGTGGACTTGTGATCCTATTTACAAACACCATTAGAACAAATCATTCTATTCATTAAGAGAATGCAACTATATATCTATCCTAACCACTTTGAATACACAGATACAAAATGGACATTCATTGGTATACCCCATTTTTTCTAAGTTCCGTTATTGAATATTATAGGTGTGTAAACTCAGCAAAATATCCTAAAAGAGTCCAGTAGCCCATAATAGCATTGGGTCTTCTGTTTAACTGGCAATGTCAGAAATTATTGACCTGAGTCCATCCTTCCCTCTTCTTAAAGAAGAGAAAGAAGAAAGGTGTAAAAATTAAGATCTTACATTTTTGCTCATGAGCTAAACATGCATTTCCAGACTTCTTAGAAGCCATATTTTTAAGAATAATAGTCTCTGAGAAAACAAAATGTCAAAGAAAACAATGCACAGTCCAATCTAGACTACAAAAAATGCCTGCCTTATTTAAGCCTTAGTAAATAAACTAAACAAAAAAATTTGAAACAGGTAGCAATTTGTCGCTTTTAATGAACTTGGTAGACTGTGTGGATCTGGTGTCACAATGAAAAACAGAATCAACTCCCAATTATCCAGATGTCAATGCAAAACTAAGC